GACCATAACAGGTCAAAAGATTTTTAACAGTATATATTCCTATTTAAAATCTCTAGCTGTGTCCAGATGAGCGCAGCCATGCGGTATGTGGTGCCGTGTACACATCTGCGGCACCACATGCTGCATGTTCAGCTGTTCTCCATGCTGCAAGAGAGCACTGCAGGGGGGGTGGGGTGGGATTAGACCCTGAGAGATCCCGGAGGGGGGGAAAAAAAGCAGAGTGGTGTACGTGGGGCAGCATGCGCCACCCAGAACCGGAGCCTGACTGGCTGGAGCCATGCTCCAACTGTCAGCCAGGCTCTGAGTGGCAGGATTCCCAATGCTGATGCCCTGGGAGCTGATGCTCTGGGCCAGCTGTCCCCAGCCTGCCCTACCCCACCTGGGGTAACCTGTCATGCGCCAGGTGGCACATGACACGTTTTCCCTGGGGACAACCAGCAGCAGCACAAGGTCTGCCTCTGCTAGTTGTCCCGAGGGAACCAAATGTCCGTGCTCTTTTGGACTCGGCCTCTGGGTTTATCTTGTGAATCAGGTTTGCGCACCCAACAGTGCAAACATTGTGCGCCACCATGCAGCACCCCTGAAATATGTTCTCAATGCCCCCTAACGTTCATGGCCCCAAAGATTCCAAACCTGCTGATTATTCATAAATGGCAATTTTATGACCCAGGATGAAATTTATATTTATTTTCAGATGACTTTTAGAAAAAAGTGTATACGTACACACACTTCTGTGTCTATACACACAAAGCTGTCAAAGATATCTTATTAAGATTGCACTGTTAAGTTCTGAGAAATAGAGCTGTGTAAAGAATTTTTGAGGGTTTTTTTTGGTTGTGGAGTTTGCAACCAGTCCAAGAACAATTATGCTAAATCCAATATTGGACCAATGCAACTTTTTTCCCCCACCAAAACAAAAAAGAATAATATTTTGGGTTTGTAAAAAGTTTTTAAACTGATTTCAATTTTAATAAATAGCTGTATTGACCTGTATAATAAAAACCCTTTATTTTGAATTTGTTGAAATGAAAGAGATGGCTGTTTAAAAACAAACAAAAAAACACCTAATACAGTAGCTCCCTCTTCTCCCTCTGACCCCCAATTTTCTTTCTTGGCTGAAACAATTTAATGGATTTCACACAGAGTTACTAATTACTTTGATCTAAATATGCATTTTATGATACAGTCAATATGTAATCACCAAACTTGTATTTTCTCGCATACAATATGCACTCTTCCCCACCCCCAATTAGCTACCGGAACTGGGTGCGCATAATAAGCAAGGAACTATGGTAACAGCAATTTCTGCTGCTTAAACCTGTCGAGCAAAAGTAACTGCACATGGTGCTGTACAGCAGGGGTGTCATACTCACATGGTCCCTCAGGCCAGATGCCTGGTACGGGGCTGGTCCATGGGCTGAATGAATTGTGCATGGCAGGCCCCATATGCTAGATGGGAACTATGGAACCCTCTCTCTACCCCTTGACAAATATTGGATCCACACACTCAGTGCTTGCTCTGGCTGATCTGGGAGTATGCTGCATGTGCTGCCCAGGCAGACTATAGGATGAGTGTTGCATGTCATGCCCACTCCAGCCAGTCTGGGACCCACTCTGCATGTGGTGCCGGCATTGGAGTGGCTGGGGGCAGGACATGCAGTACGAGTCCTGGACAGTCCAGAGTGGGTGTCACATGAGGCACATGTTCTGGGCCAAAGGCATCATATGCAGTGCAGGTCCCAGGTCCTGTGTATGGATGGGGCCAGCCTGGCACTTGCCACGTGTCCTTTGAGTCAATTCTGGACCCAGGGCGAGTACCAGGAGCCAGATGATCGGGTTCCATGGACCAGATCCAGCCAATAGGCTATATATTTTTTTGACACTCCTGTTCTACGATGAGCAAAATAACAAGCTGGGTTCACATGCTGCTGCTACTCATAGTTTCATAGGTTCATAGTTAGTAGGGTGAGAAGGGACCTGAGCAGATCATCAAGTCCAACCACTGCCATGGTAGGAAAGAGTACTGGGGTCAAACGACCTCAGCAAGGTGATTGTTAAGCCTTGTCTTAAAGACCCCCAGGGTAGGAGCCAGCACCACTTCACTTGGAAGTTGGTTCCAGATCCTAGCTGCCCTGACAGTGAAGTAGTGCCCCCTGATGTCTAATCTGAATTTACCCTCTTCTAGCTTGTGACCGTTATTTCTAGTCACTCCTGGTAGTGCTCAGGGGAACAGGGACTCTCCCAATGCCTGCTGGTCCCCTCTGACTAGTTTGTAACAGGCCACTAGATCCCTTCCCCTCAGCCTTCTCTTATGGAGGCTGAACAGGTTCAGGTCCCTTAGCCTCTCCTCGTAGGGCCTGTCCTGCTGCCCCCTGATCATGCAACTGGCCCTCCTCTGGACCCTCTCCATGTTGTCCACATCCCTCTTGAAGTGTGATACCCAGAACTGGATGCAGTACTCCAGCTACGG